TTTTCTGAGCCAATTCTGTACTCACTATATATAGTAGAGTTCCTAATTCTAGTCCGTTTATATTTAATCACGTTTTAGTCTTCCATAATTTACAAATAGTTCATATTTTTTAAAAGAAATTTATTAATATAGCAGACTTTTAACAAACATTTTTTTCTTTATTGTATTTTGACATCTATGTGTTATTGCCTTGTTTTAGTGGAGTCCACAACAATCAAGGATAATACACATTTTTTTGCACCTGGAGACAATGTGGAAGTTACCGAAGGCGAGCTCGTGAATCTTCGTGGTAAAGTCGTTAGTGTAGATGGGCCGAAAGTCGTGATGATGCCAGATCACGAAGAATTGAAGGTGCGGCTCTGCATATATGCATTTTGTTGTTCCAAAATTATTCCTCACCTCTAAGCTGCTATCTTATATGATTTTTTTTTTCAGGAACCGCTTACGCTCAATATATCTGAGTTGCGTAAGTATTTCCGGCCAGGAGATCATGTTAAGATGATATCCGGGCGTTACGAAGGTGATACTGGCCTAATTGTACGAGTAGAGCACAATCTCGTTGTTGTTCTTAGTGACCTCAGTATGGACGAAGTAACGCTTTTTGCAGTAATTTGTGCCTCAAAATTTGTTCACAAGCGGGTTTTTAGATGAAAGCGCGACCACGCGATGTCCAACTCTGTGCTGATATCACTACTGGTGTGGACTCTTTGGGACAGTTCCAATTCCACGATTTGGTACAGCTAGATCAGCAGAATGTTGGAGTAATTGTTCGCCTGGAAAAGGAGACAATGGAGGTCCTCAATCAGCATGGAAAGGTTCATCTATCCCTTTGTCTTGCTACTTCCGTTGAACAGTGTATGCCTTGCTTGTCTCACTAAAGCGACTGAGTCGTTCCATCTGATAATTTAACGACAAATCCAAATATAACGAGTTGATGATTTTCATTCTATGCGTTTACTATGTAGGTACTTCGGGTTAAGCCACAGGCTATACAAGGCAAGAAAGACACTCGTCACTCACAAGCGCTTGACAGTCAGCAGAACCCCATCCAGTGCAGAGATATGGTGAAAATCATTGATGGGCCATTTGCAGTGAGTTTCAGTTCTTTCGCATTGCTTTCGTCGATCAATTTATTGTTGAGTACAGGCCAAGAAAAATGAGGAAGAAAAGCAGGGAGAAATAAAGCATGTTTACCGCTCATGGGTGTTTGTGTATTCACGAAAACATGTGGAAAATGGTGGAATGTTGGTTTGCAAGGCTCGACATCTCTTACTGATTGGAGCTCGTGCTGGCACCACTCGCAGTATGAAAACTCCTCTCATGGTTTTATCGCCT